GTTCCTCAGTGAAGTCCTCCTGATGCCTATAGATTTTTATCCTAGTAGTTTCACTCACATGAGGAATCCATGATTGGTCCAAAGAACACAATCATATCTTTTTCACAACAGTGATTGAAAGGCAACTGAAGTCTTATTGAGGGCTTGTTCACACCATTAACAGTGCGTTACAAGGCGGTCAGCTGCTGGAACGCTTTGGAGCGCATCCCTGTCGGCCTTCTGCGTTCAGGGGCGGGAGGGGGCGTGGTGGTGCTTTCGCCCGCTCCAGAACGCCTGGCACATCAGTGCCTGCATTTCAGTCCAGTGTGATCTGCAAAAATATTGCTTGCAGCATTTTTTCAGATGGCACTGGACCGAAAAGCAGACACTGATGTGCCCCACGTTCCTGTGCGGGTGCGCCATTGACTTCAATGCACCGCCATGCCCCCTCCCACCCCTGAACGCAGGAAGCCCGGTGGGGATGCGCTCCATTGCATTCCAGCAACGAATCATGCTGGAACACACTGGAGCTGGTGTGAACTGGCCCTTAAAGGAGAACTATGGGGGTTAGGGCTTTTCCCCATAGTTATCCTAAGGGTAACGGGAGGACACAAACTAGCGTCCTCCCATCACCCTAAGCTCAGTATACCGTGAGCTGCAGCTCACGGTATACTGAGACGCTGAAGCGGATCCCGACAATTATGTCTGGATCCGCCCAGCTGCGTGAGTGACAGCTGGCTCTGCCTATCTAGAAGCAGAGCCAGCTGTACCCGTCCCCTCCCCTGTCCGTTCCGCCAGTCAGCCCTGGCGGATCGGAGCGTGGAGGGGGGAATCCAGTCCCTCCCCTGTCACGGCAGAGAGCCGTGACAGGATCGAGAAGTGAGCGAACGCCGGTATGTGTTCGCTCACCTCCCGATCTACTGAGCCGACCTGTGACAGTCGGCTCATAGTTCTCCTTTAAGCTGAAAAACAGTGGCTATAATTTTATGTGAGGCTCCTTTCTGTCTCCAGGGACAGTCTTATTTAAATATTGTCTTCCTGACTCAACAGCAGCCCTGACATTCCCAGAGCACCACCTATGCATTCAGTTTCTAACATATCAAAACAACCATTGATCTCAGGAAGACAACGCTGATTATGACAGCAATGCAATCTCTTTGAATGATACTGTTTGCTTGGCAGAAGCGGATGTCATTATGATTTTTTTATAGTGAGAGAGAAGACCAGTTGGCTTTTCTTTCCAACCAACATAATGGCTGCCAACCATTCTACAATTTCCTACCTATTATTTCCCACTCTGTCAATTATAATCTCTGGTGCTCATCCTAACCTGCTAAATTATAACTATTAAATGTTAAATATATCTATAAAATGACAGCCGTGCTACAAATGACTATATAATGATAACAGAAATCAATATAAGAAAGTCAATCCCTGTATTAGAACAGCAAATAGCAAGAGATTTGTAGAGTTCTTATACAGATAGTAAAATGTGCCGTTTCAGTGAACCCGGAGGACAGACATAAGGCAGCTGCTATCGCTGAGTTGTCTTTAAAGGAGAACTATGGGGTTAAGGCTTTTCCCCATAGTTCTCCTTAGTGTAACGGGAGGACACAAACTAGCGTCCTCCCGTCACCCTAGGCTCAGTATACCGCGAGCTACAGCTCGCACTATACTGAGACGCCGCAGCTGAAGCGGATCCCGAAAATTATGTCTGGATCCGCCCAGCTGTGTGACTGACAGCTGGCTCTGCCTATCTAGAGGCAGAGCCAGCTGTACGCGCCCCCTCCCCCGTCTGTTCCGCCAGTCAGCGCTGGCGGCTCGGAGCGGGGAGGGGGGAATCCAGCCCCTCCCCTGTCACGGCAGACAGCTGTGACATGATCGAGAGGTGAGCGAACGCCGGTATGTGTTCGCTCACTTCTCGATCTACTGAGCCGACCTGTCACAGTCTCATTGTCACAGGTCGGCTAGAACTATGAGGTGAGTGAAAAGCAATCACCTCATAGTTCTACTTTTAGTGGACCTAGCATCATACTGTATATATATTTTAGTGTTAAATGCATTAATTGTAAATAAATATCAGTGTAACACTTCCAGGAATTTATTACCTCTGGTAGAGATCTCATGGCTCCCCCTGGCAATGCCTTCATCATCCTTTTTATCTTCCGGCATCACCATCTACTTCCTGAACTGAGATTCTGGTTCAGACACAGCATGTAAAGTCCAGTGCCTGTGCTTTTCTTGGCTGTTTTCACAGATGTCTCACACAGATCAGCTTCTCACCTTGTGACTGGCTACAAAGTTACAATATTGCAGTCTGATCACTAGTGCCGAGGAGACTGAGAACATGCTTCATCCTGCCTGCAGGAGGCTGATGACATCATCCCAGCCTAGGCAAAGTCACTGGACTGGAGCTCAAGAAAAAAAAATTTTAATAAGAGGTACAGCTCTTAGGAAAAAATTATATTGTATATTGTTACATGTTAGGAATGTATTCATCCAGACTTGTAAAGTTAATAAAGTCCACTTTAAAGGTACAGGATGCAGGGCTGTCAAAATCATGTTGGTTTCACTACTCAGGGAGTCACTGGTCTTGAATAAATTTAGGATTGATGCTGATAAATGAATAAAATGTATTCATTACTGGCTGTATGCTGAGACAGTGCCTATATTCCTATCATCACAGATTCTTGGTAAGGCTTTCTCTTTAACTAAAAAATTGGAATTGCTTTAGAGAAGAAATGGCGACTAATACAGAAGTTTATTGCAGTGGGTTTGCCTTTACCCCACTTTACTAAAGTTTATATTAGGACAGAGTTATAAAAATATGGATTTCCTTATTAGACTATTACTCACAGTATTCTAGTAAGATATCAAATCAGTTGTCTAGCAATGGACCTCAGATTTTATTAATTAAAACAATGCAGCCCTGGACCCTCTTACCTTTCTACCCTGTGTTCAGCCCCTGGGACCTCTCTCGCCCCACTTTTGTGTGCAGCCCCAGGGACCTCTTACCCCTCTCTCCTATTTGCTAGCCCTGGGACCACTCACCATTCTTCTCTGTGTGCATCTCCTGGGACCTCTCACTCCTCTCCTTTGTTTGCACATCCTGGGACTTCTCACCCCTCACTGCTCTGTGCAGCCCCAGAGACCTCTCACCCCTCTCCCCAGTGTGTGGCTCCTGGGACCTCTTACCCCTCTCCTCTTTGTGTAGCTCCTGGGACCCCTCACTCCTCTCCTTTTGTTTGCATGTCCTGGGACTTCTCACCCCTCACTGCTGTGTGCAGCCCCAGAAACCTCTCACCCCTCTCCCATGTGTGCAGCTCCTGGGACCTCTTACCCCTCTCCTTTGTATGAAACTCCAGTGACCTCTCACCCTTCCATGTGCGTAGCTCCTGGGACCTCTTTTGCAGGGATAAGTCTATAATTTGTTCAGGCTAATGGTATAGTTAGTGATAATCAGCATGGGTTCAGGAAAGACCGTTCCTGTCAGACTAACCTACTGACTTTTTACGAGGGGGTAAATAGAGATCTGGATGGAGGGAGGCCGGTGGATGTGGTATATTTGGATTTCGCTAAGGCTTTTGATACGGTACCTCATAAACGCTTACTACACAAGCTAAGAGCTATGGGCATAGATGGAAGGGTGTGTACTTGGATAGAGAATTGGCTAAAGGAACGGGTGCAGAGAGTATCAATAAATGGCGCTCTTTCAGACTGGGCTTGTGTCTTTATTCAACCTCAAATACTATGTAACTATGTAACTATGTAACCTCTCACCCCTCTCCTCTTTGTGTAGCTCGTCCGACCTCTCACCCCTTTCCTCTGTGTGCTTCTCCTGGGTCCTCTCACCCCTCTGCTCTGTGTGCAGCATTGGGACCTCTTACCCCTCTCCTCCGTGTGGGACCTGTCACCCCTCTCCTCTGTAGCTCCTCGGACCTCTGACCCTTCTCCTCTGTGTGCAGTTCCTGGGACCTCTCACCCCTCTCCTGGGACCTCTCGCCCTTTTCTTCTGTGTGTAGTTCCTGGGACCTCTCACCCCTCTCTTCTGTGTGTAGTTCCTGGGACCTCTCACCCTTTTCTTCTGTGTGTAGTTCCTGGGACCTCTCACCCCTCTCTTCTGTGTGTAGCTCCTGGGACCTTTCACCCCTCTCCTCTGGGTGTAGCTCCTTGGACCTCCCACCCCTCTCCACTGTGCGCCAATCCGGGAACCTTTCACCCCTCTCCTCTATGTGCAGTGCCTAAGAAACTCTGGCTGCCAGGGCAGTAGACCTGATTTTTTTTCTACCCTAGTTAAAGAACACTTAAAGATCTTGTCTTTTCTACAGCCTGTGACTGGACATTAAAAGGTGAAGCAGTACACTGATGAGCTCATCTCTCTTTCAATCTGCTCTCTCCTCCTGTCGGCCTGTCTTGGCACATGAGCACACCAGCACAACTGGCTGGTTCCTTCTGCTAATTTCCTATTCCTAGTCTGAGCTCTACTGTACAGAAGAGACTGATACCAGGTTACATTTAGGTACTTACTCTGCTTGCATTTAGAAACAATTTCAAGCATTATTAATAAATACAGAGTTGCATTCATTATATGTGCCTAAAGTTCATCTTCAAAAAGCACATTAAAAATGTAAAAAGGACAGAACTTATGTCCTGCAGCATTGGGCACAGTCTGGAACAAGCACCATTTTTGGGAGTGAGTCAGGGGTTTCAGGCTCCATTGCTCATTTTGCATCCTGCATTGGCTGTGCAAGTTGGGCACATCTGCCCATTTACAATCAGTTTCAGTCATTGAGCTATGACATTCACTTACGCAAGCTTGTGTTTTCCCATAGCCCCCAGTCATGTGCATAAGGAATTAAAACAAAAACAGCTCATGTTTAATATGATTGTATGGTTGATATGAACACAGGTTCTCTTTACATTTTAGTCATTCAGGCCTATAGAGGTAAAAAAAAATATGTTCCACCATCTGAGATGACCTGTAACTTCTTTTGCTCACTGCCCCCTTCTCATCTCTCCAGGTATCAAGACCACAGCGGTGAAAAAAGACGATGATTACGTTATTAACGGCAGCAAGATGTGGATAACAAATGGATGCCAAGCCGACTGGATGTGCCTCCTCACCAACACCAGCAATGGACCTCCACACAAAAATAAGTCTCTTATATGTCTGCCTATGAAGACACCTGGTAAGTTAGGAGCTTGAAACATCTGCTTAACATGAGTTTGGCTTAGATCCACACATTGACAAAAAGGACAATGCTTATGACCGCACTCCCAGGATGCTGCAGGCAAGACTTTGAGGCGCACCAAAGAACGTACTTCAGGTCCAAAATGCAAATTGCTCCTTTCTTGGAACTGTCTAGGACTGAAATGCCCTTTCAGACTTATGAGCATGCAGTAATGTACATTTCAGATGCGAAAATTGAAATTGAAAACAAAACAAAAAAGAAGGCATCGCTGCAACAAAGCACATAATAGGCTGCATTGAAGATCTAAGCATACTCAAAGATCTTCAGCATCCTACACACTTTTGAGTGTACCAGAGGTTGGCATCCTCTGCTTCACTCTGTGGTTCAGTCCGCTGGCCCCTACGTCATGACTCTCCTGCAGTGACAGAGGGGTTGGCAGGGAGAACCACAGAGCGCAGTGGGAGAAGTCAGCATGTGGCAGTCCTGGAAGTGTTTAATGCAGATGCAGATCTTCTGCCCATCCGAGTTCAGCACTACGGACAGCAAGACAGGAAAGTGGAACTGAACACAAAAAGTGAACATTTGCTATGTTGTAACAAATTTTAACATTTTCTAATGGTGGTGTGCCTCGTGATTTTTTTTCATGAAAAAAGTGTGCCTTTGCACAAAAAAGGTTGAAAAACACTGTTTTAGGGAACCTCAAGAAATGTTAATTGTGCCTAAGGCCTCATTCACACTGCCGCGCATATACGCGCGCATGTGCTTATTGTACCATATGCAAATAAATGGCTCCATACACAAAGCCGCGTATGGAGCCGTATATTTGCGTAGTGTAAAAATGCGCAAAAACAGAATGGATCGGAGATGCGTCTAGGCAGCGTATTTCTGCACATATGCATGTTTACGCGCATATACGTTATACATTAAAATTACTATTGAATTATGCATTCTGGGATTGCATATAGAGTCGCACATACGCGCTTAAATACGCGCATATACGCTTATACACGCAATGTACAATTTTGCTCTTGCGTTGTGTGTAATTGAGGCCTAAGCAGTATCCTAAAAAATTACCTTTTTTTCTTGAATCAACCTGAGAAAAAGCAAAGCACCTCCTTGTAAGCGAGTGTGCCTAGGCCAGGGGTAGGCAACCTCGGCTCTCCAGCTGTGCTGAAACTACAAATCCCATAAGGCATTGCAAGCCACAGGCATGACTCCCAGAGGCAGAAGCATGATCGTATTTGTAGTTTCAGCACAGCTGGAGAGCCAAGGTTGTCTACCCCGGGCCTAGGCACTCCTGTTCCTATAGCCTCATAGCTGTGTATCTGCAGTGTGAGATCTATGGATAACCCCGAGTGCAGTGCTAGATTGGGGGAAAACTAAATATTGCTTTTAGACTTTTATTTTTTAAATAGGATGTATGGGAGTGACTTTTATTAAATAAAATGTTGTGGAGTTTAGCAATTTAAATAGCTCCTTGTTTTATAATAATATCTTGCTTTTCCATTAGACTAAACTTCTTTAATTGTATGAATCAGTTCCTCCTAATTGATACCTAATTGCAGCATCTGATATACGTTCCTGTAAAAAAAAAAAAAAACTCCTTTTTTAAAGTTATGGAGCCTGCCATGGGAAGTTTCATTGTTCCACAGCTTAGTCACTCTTGCTGTAAAGACCCGTGCTGATTGTAAAACCATATTTTCTCCAGACTATTTTTGAAATGTGGGAACCAGGCTGAACGGGCAGTAGACATGGTTACAATGCAGACTTGTCTATCAGTGATGTCAATGACTCCTGTCAAACTTCGGTGACAGTGCAGCTCTTGTTTAGCTGACCTTGCCTAAAGGACACGTTTACTGCCGGAGGGGAAGCTTTTATTGTCTTGTTTTATTTTGTCCTATCAATGATCGGTAATCTGCTGTGTCTGGTCATAGCAACATTCAAAGAAAGTGTGTTCTGCTAACCTGATGATTCACTTTAAGTAACTAGACAGACAATTTATTGTCTCACCTTCCCCAAGTTATATGACTAATTGTCTAAGGTGATTTAAGTTCACTCCACATCTTCTAGCTTATGCAATCTATACAGCTTACATCAAAATATTACTAATTAGTAATGGATCAATCAGTTCATGAACAGAGCACATTGCAGATTTTTTCTTTGTTTCTATCTTTCTGGTCTTAGTCAATTTTCGCTTTGTTGTGTCTTTCTGGCCTCATCCACTTTGTATTCTTGTGCCTTTCTAGTCTTATTTACTTTGTTGTGTTCTCCTGGCCTCATCCACTTTTCACTTTGTTGTGTCATTCTGGTCTTATCCACCTTTTAATTTGTTGTGTTATGTTCTATTGGCCTCCTTCCGTCTTCTCCATTTTTCACATTGCTGCATTCTCCACGTCTCATTCACTTTTTACTTTGTTGCTTCATTCTGATATAATCCACTTTTTACTTTGTTGTTGCAGATGTTTTCCTTCTTGAGTCCTTCTGATCTTACACTGTTCACTTTCATGTGTTCTCGTGACCTCATCCACTTTTTATTCTGTTGTGCCTTTCTAGTCTTATTTACTGAGCTGAGCTTATATAGAGGAAATTATTAAGTTAATGTGTTACTTCCTGTGCGCCGCTTGGCACGCTTTTTTTGCGGCTGGTCGTGGTGCACGCGCATGCTCGGAAGAGCGCGTTTCCCAATGGTACGGGAAAGTGCGCTTGGCGCATGCGCAGTAGCAGGGGGTTGCTGACATGAAGTCTTCATAAATGAACACTTGTAATCTGAGAAAATGTGGTCACACTTTTTTAAAGTTTGAAAGCCATACTGCTAGATCCAAGGACTGGGTGCATATATAAGTTAATTATCCATTATAATAGTTTGAATTTGTTTTATTTGCCTGAAATTCTTCTGTAATCCATAATGCTTGTTCTTTTTTTTTTCTTTTTTTAGGTGTCCACGTCACCAAGAAAATTGACAAAATCGGAATGAAGTCATCAGACACGGCTCAGATATTCTTTGAAGATGTCCGAGTTCCTAGTAAGAATTTGATAGGGGAGGAAGGAATGGGATTCATGTATCAGATGTTGCAATTCCAAGAGGAACGAATGTGGGGAGCCGCGAGCGGTAAGTCTCCCTTATTCTTTCCATTAGTCTCTAGTGCTTTTTTCTGTGGGAGTATATGTGCATTTTAGGCATTGTTATGGAAAGCTAATATGGTTTAGGATTTATTTTATTATATTTTTTTAAACTGATGCTTTATATCTGCTTTTAACTATTAAAACCTTTATCTAAACAAGCAAGCAGGTCGAGAGGAGAAGCTTTAATGTATACACACAGTTGAATGATTCAGAGAAGTGCTCTGAATCATTCAACTGTGTGTATACATTAAAGTTTGATTTACTCAGCTCTGTGAACAGTTTTTTTTCCTTCAACAAAGCAGATAAGGATAGACTAAAATGAGCGTAAAGTCCTATCATCTTAATGAAAGTCAGAATACAAAATATATGCCACATTTTATATTTATATGCCTAAATAATTCTAAAATATATATATATATATATCAGGGAGGGGGCTCTAAATTCTTGGTAATAGTAAGCATTTTTTTGGTGTCTGCTCTTCTGAATTGAGAAAGCTGGTCAGATGTCCAGTGAAACGTCTTCAAAAAAATACAGCAAGTCCAGTTGCCTTGACTTATTTTTTACAGATATGCTCTTAGGCAAAACTTTTTAAAAGTTTAAAGAAAGAACAGATTCACTTTAATATAAATTCAGCTTCCTATTACCATCAACACATTTTATTTTTAAATAACGAAAGGGAATCAGTGAGCCACTTCCTGTCCCAGGTGGACTATAAATAGGGCATTAGAGTTACCAGGAATGACGTCTGTGATTGAGCTGTCGGTGGCCAGGGAATATCTGGCTGATTAAGTAGGAAAAATGCAAAATATGGCAGGCGTAAAGGCCACAGAACGTCAAAGCAGCAGAGAGGCAGAGCCGGCTATTACACCATGTCCTGTGAGAATCTTGTCTCATGTTTGTTTTAGTCCTGGGTCATGATGATGCAGACATACAGTCCAGTTCTAGCTGGAGGTGTCACAGTTCATCCATTCCCGAATTTAGTGTTCCCTAATACAGTGACACAGACAGACGGATGACTATTACTTATGGGGGGTTTTTTAATTGAATTGCTAGACATGATCCCAATCATGAACTACGTCTATTCTAAAGAACTTTGTAACATTGTTTCCTTTTAACCCTTTTATTAATTAATAAAATATAATGTTCATTTTTAAAGCATAAATATTCCCCCTTTGTTTGACCTATTGTGGGCTCAGAGGCAAATCTGCACACTGCCCCTGTACAGAGCAATTGCTTGAGCAGTTATGGATTTCTTGTCATCTTAAAGGAGAACTATGAGGTGAGTGATTTTCACTCAACCTCATAGTTCGAGCCGACGTGTCACAATGAAACTGTCACGCGTCGGCTCAATAGATCGGGAAGTGAGCGAACACATACCGTCACTCGGTCACCTCTCGATCATCTCCCTGCAGAGAGCAGTGACTGTCACTCACGGCTCCTTGCAGGGACCCCCCTCCCCGCTCTGATATTCCAGCGCTGACTGGCAACGGACGGGGGAGGGGGCGGGTACAGCTGGCTCTGCCTTTAGATAGGCAGAGCCAGCTGTCAATCACGCAGCAGCGTGGATCTCGATAGTAATGTCGGGATACGTCCCAGCTGCGGCATCTCAGTATACCGCGAGCTGTAACTCTCTATATACTGAGCTTTGGGTGACGGGAGGACGCTAGTTTATGTTCTCCCGTGACCCTTAGGAGAACTATGGGGAAAAACACTTACCCTATAGTTCTCCTTTAAAGCTGGGCTGCAAACATCTAATTGAAATATAGGTCATGGAGATGTTTTATTGTACCTGTCAAAGGATTTGTATTTCTGTCCATCGAGTCCTGGGATTTAAACAGCTCTGTGTGACACAGTAAAATACCTCTTTTTGTCTGCTGAAGTTAGGTAGTGCTTGTCCCTCCCCCAGACTGTGACTGGACAGTGAAAGGAGAAGCAGCCCACTGATGAGCTCATCACTCTGTCACTAAGCTCTCTTTCCTATGAGCACATTCTTTGTTAGCATATAAACACCAGCAGCTTATCTAATTGGCTCCTTGTGCTGCTACTCCCTCACATACTCCAGCCCTGCTGTACAAGGACTGCAAGAGGCTGATTTCAAGTCAAATTTAGGAACTAACACTGCTTACATTAAAAAGAAATGATGTATAAATAAATACAGAGCTGCATTAATTTGTGTCGTTTACATCTGCTTGGAGTTATTTTTTAAAGACATTTGGCCATTCTTCTCCTACTTCACTTGTTGACCAGAGATTTTCACCCACAGAACGGCCTCTTACTGGATGTTTTACACATTCTCTGCAAACATTAAAGAATCTAGTGTGTGAAAATCCCAGGAGGTCATCGGTTTCTGCCACCAACAATCATTTCACAATAAAGGTCACTTAGATCTCAGTTCTTCACAGTTTCTTCATTCTAATGTTTGGCAAAGCGACAGCTGAACCTCTTGGCCGTGTCTGCATATTTCCTTCATTGGGTTGCAGCTGCACAGTTTCCTGTTAGCATGATCCAATAATGCTGACCATTCACAAAACACACAAACACCATTTTGTGAAAGTTCATGAGGAGATGAGGGTGGAGAAGGGGGTCAATAAGACCTGAAGTGCTAATGTCTGGAGCAGCCGGGAAATACAGTGGAGGCTGTAACAATTCTGACATGTCAATCTTGACACATCTCAATTTCTACTAAAAAGTGTTGAATTTGGAGTGCACAGCATGAATCTATAGATGCATCTTGTCTTGAGCCAATGTTTCAGACCGGTGGTAGTGTCATGGATTGGGACTCACAGGTATGAACTGGAGTCAGGTATGTGGACCCTTTCCACTACACTGGCAGGGACACTGAGAGAAAAGGGTCCAAGCAGTGTAGGCTGACGACTCTCAGAGCTGGAGTACAAGCAGGGGAACAGAGCAAGCAGGGGAACAGAGCAGGGGAACTGAATGAGGTAGTGAAAGTCAGCTGAAGCTGGAAGTTCAAATACAAGGCAGGGTGCTGCAATGCTGAGTAGGTGGCATGGTATGCTGAGTAGGTGGCATGGTATGCTGAGTAGGTGGCATGGGGTCCCCCAGGATGTGGAATCTAAGAGCCAGCCGGTGTTCACCTGAGCTCCTGAAGGTGGAGATGGGCTTGGCTGCGTGCTGACCCCAGGTCACAATCCCTAGGTCCACCCAACTCACCTAACAGGTACAGGGTACGAATCAAAGGTTAGGGACAGGCTGAAGACTTCCAGGGACAAAGCGAAGCACAGCGTAGACTGTAGACAGGGATTTCCAAGGACAAAAGTGAAGCACGGCAGCCAGACAGGGATTTCCAAGGACAAAAGGGAAGCACAGGGCAGCCTGTAGATAGGGATTTCCAAGGACAAGCCAAAGTTTCGGTACACGGGAAAACTTGCTAGAAATTCAGGGTAAATCACAAATGGGGGACTCTGCAACTAGCTTAGGAAAGCGTTGCTCAGGCAGCATGCCGTTCGCTGCCCTGAGTTTAAATAGAGACAGGAAGAGGGGGGATCCATAGTAGGTGGCATGGTATGCTGAGTAGGTGGCATGGGGTCCCCCAGGATGTGGAATCTAAGAGCCAGCCGGTGTTCACCTGAGCTCCTGAAGGTGGAGATGGGCTTGGCTGCGTGCTGACCCCAGGTCACAATCCCTAGGTCCACCCAACTCACCTAACAGGTACAGGGTACGAATCAAAGGTTAGGGACAGGCTGAAGACTTCCAGGGACAAAGCGAAGCACAGCGTAGACTGTAGACAGGGATTTCCAAGGACAAAAGTGAAGCACGGCAGCCAGACAGGGATTTCCAAGGACAAAAGGGAAGCACAGGGCAGCCTGTAGATAGGGATTTCCAAGGACAAGCCAAAGTTTCGGTACACGGGAAAACTTGCTAGAAATTCAGGGTAAATCACAAATGGGGGACTCTGCAACTAGCTTAGGAAAGCGTTGCTCAGGCAGCATGCCGTTCGCTGCCCTGAGTTTAAATAGAGACAGGAAGAGGGGGGATCCACAGGATTGGCCACTAGCAGACTGCACTGATTGGCCGAGAAGAAGCTGCATAAGAAACAGCAGGAGAGGTCGGCCGACGCCTAAAGCTTGCAGACAAGTGCAAGAGTGAGTCAGGTTCAGAGCACATGTCTGGAGGACTACAAGCACCAGCACAGCCCTGCATGCCTACAGAACCAGGGGTAAGAGATATCTATATACTTGTAGAACTACAAGTAACGGCTCTGCTGCAAGTCTGAGTAGTACAAATGCACGGGGAATGCTGTGTTGGTACGCATTAAGCCCCTTGCAGATGGCCACCTTAGGGCTTTTGTTTGCATCAGAACTGCTTTTCTCTCCATACAAGATGACGGGAATGTTTGATACAGCTTAGGTAGAGGTCAACTGCAGATCTGAAGGAGGTCAACTGCACATGCAAGAAAACTTAGGGGGTTATTCACAAAGCTGCCAAAGGCAGCCGAGTGAATAACCCAGCTGAAGTGAAGTGAGACGAACACTGTTCGGCTATTCACTTCTGGGTTGTACGGCTGATTTCAGCCATACATCAGCTAAAGTCAGCCGTACTTCGACTGCATTCTGCTGCCTTTGCATGTTCGGCTGAGACGAAGTGCAGAAGGAGCTCAACTCAGCCGATCCAACATCTGGATCGGCTGAGCTAAAGCTCCGACAGCTCAGTCGCTGCCGGTCGCCCCTATTCTCATAGCCGCATTCGGCTCGGCTATTCTGCTCGGTACCTCCGAGAATAGAATATAGGTGAAATTATTTTTTAAAAAGTTGAAAAATTATTTAAAAATGTAAGAAAATAGGTAATTTTTTTTATAGTTTAAAGAAAAAAAGAAAATTAAAATATTTTTTTAAAAACACCAGTGAAGATGCCAGCAAAAGAAAAACAATTGGGCGGAGCTAGCAGTGACAGCTAGCTCTGCCCAACTGCTTCCTTTTGGCCGGCACCTGCCAGAGTCTTCTAGCAGGTCCCGGGCCAATGAATAACAACTGGGCAGAGCCGGCCATCACAGCAGGCTCCATCCCAGTTGTTATTTTTTGATGACAGATCAGCATCCCCAGGTCATTTGGGGACGCTGATCTGTCATTATAACTGGGCAAAGCGAGCCGTGAGATCAAGGCTGGCTCGGCCCAGCTGTCATTTGCATGGAGATCAGTCAACTTCAGCCGACCTTTCTCCATGCTTCAGCTGTCACTTCGGCTCAGTCGAGCTAAAGCATATGCCTTTGGCTCAGCTGAGCCGCTCGGCTGCCTTCGGCTGCTGTACAGGCTATTGTGAATAGGCCGTACAGCAGCCCTTCGGTTCGACTGCATCGAAAGGCTCAGGCGGCCAAAGAGAGCCGAAGGATCAGCCGAAGCTATGGCTGTATCCTTCAGCTCTTTAGTGAATAACCCCCTTAGATAGAACTCAGAAGCATCTCAAGTTGATCTCAAAAGCAAGCTAAATGCACCTGAATGCAACTGCATTTGACCATCTACACAAGCCCCAAAGTTCATACCACAAGTCCTAAAATGACCAGCGTCTTTCTCACCATTGCCTCCTCACAGTTGGAGCTCTGTTTGAGTTTGAGGCAAACCGTGAGAAACACTGTCACCTTCGGGATCCTGGTTATAGAAGAGTAATTCAGCACTTGTATAATAAAAAGGGATGTTAACCTGGGATACCAGTTCAGATACCAGTGCCAATACTTGGCATTTTCATGAGAACTACCAGGGTAGCAGTGGTTGCAGGTGGGACCTGGCTCTGGCGCTCCACCACTGTCGTGAAACCATTAGTCGGTCTTATTTTAGAAAAACTGTCACATGACACTAAACAAAAATGTATCAGTAATTGTATCTGTGAGTACTTAGACAAGTATCAGTACTTGTACTTGGTCTGGAAGAAATAGTATCGGTGCATCATGTGTATATATATATATATATAGAAAAATACAATTTTACCTAATAAAGTGGCCAATGATTGTATATATATACCAGGTATGGAGATACTTCTGTTCATCAGATATGCAGCACATCATTACTCTCGTATTGTAATCCTCTCTATAGACAGTGAAGGGAATTTTTCAAAACTGGAGCAGACAAAATCTGGAGCAGCTGTGCTCGGCAACCAATCAGCTTCTCCCTTTCATTTTCAAATCTTCACTGAACACAAACTAAAGAGAGAAGCTGATTGGTTGCCAGGCATGGCTACTCTAGATTTTGTCTGCTCCAGTTTTGATAAATCCCACACAGTTGTTCTGATTGTGACTTAGAAAAACATCCACGCATTCAGATTAGCTCATTTTCCTGACATGCTTATTGATACAAGCAGAGACGGTGATGAAAGTCAGTCCTCTCTTATCTTCCAGGACATTCTGTGCATTTTTATTTTTACAATGTACAGACCTTTACTTTCATGAGCTTTTCCTTTTGCTCCGAACAATGAAAAATAACACTGCACATTATTGCAGTGTTACATATGACATAAATGACCCACTAACACAGTGACCTAAATTGACCCCAGGCTAGCACAGTATTTGCTACCATGATTCCTGGCTCTGTTTCTGTACACATGGGTTTTTTTTGCGGTCCCGTCCCGACTCTTGTTACATTCTACATGATATAAAATAGGGATGCACAGATACTTTTCGAGTACCAGTGTAGATACTTGGCATTTTCATGAGAACTACCACCGTCCTGAAATCGTTAGTCTGTATTGTTTTATAAAAACTGTCGCATGACAATAAACAAAAATGTATCAGTACTCGTACTTGTAAGTACTCGGCAAGTACCAGTACTCGTACTTGCAAAACTGGTATCTGTGCATCCCTTTATTTATATTTATAAAAACAAAATTGTACATTAAAACAGAGATGTACAAATACCAGGAGCTCCGTGTGCTCCTTACAAATGACAGCTGCCTCCTAATTTTTGATTTTTTCTCTAGTCTAGTCTTGGAGCTCAAAAGTATCGGTACTTGTTCTCGTACCTGTACCGAGTACTGTACTTGGTATCTGTGCAACCCTAATATAAAATAAATTAAAAAACCAGCAGGGATGGTGGTAACCCCTCTTAATGGGCACAGCAGACTAGGAACTCAGCATAGGGATAGTGAGAGCCCCTCATAATGGGCACATCAGTTGTGCAGATGTGGGAACTCAGCACAAGGGTGGTGGGAGTCCCTCATAATGGACACAGCAGGTGTACAGACCCGGGAACTCAGCACAAGGATGGTGGGAGCCCCTTATAATTGGCACAGCAGGTTGGCAAACCCGGGAACGTAGCACAGGTATGGTGGGAGTCCATCATAATGGGCACAGCAGGTGTGCAGACCTAACAAGTCAGTACAGGGATGGTGGGAGTCCCTCATAATGGGCACAGCAGGTGTACATTTCACCAAGAGTCTTTTAGAGATAGAAGAGACTGTCAAGTTGTTTAATTCTCCAGCATTTTCAAAAAACTAAAATATCAGTTTTGGATGGGCTGGCCCTGTATTGATGAAGCAGCATTTTTATTTGTGTGTGGGAAAATCATTGTTTTAAATTTCTTTTGTAACAATTCATATTTTCTGTCAATTATCAGTTCTCACACGCATGGAAAGCATCATCCAAGAAACAATTGACTACACCAGCCAGAGGAAAATCTTCAACCAGCCGCTGCTCAACAACCAGGTTGTCCATTACAGGTTGGCCGAGCTGAGTACCGAGGTGGAGCTTCTCCGATCATTGCTGCACCGCACAGTCGGTGAGTTTCAGTGTTACCCTCGAGTAACCCTCAACCAGTCAGTCTGATTCTCCCCATCACCAGAGATCACTTAACCAATGCCTAGGTATTGTTATATGACATGCCACTATGTACAGTCAAGCTAGCCACTCAGTGGCTCAGCCTTAAACACTGATTCTGCCCATCAGTAGAGATCATCTGATCAATGCCTAGATATTGGGTCACATGACAGGCCACTATGTACAGTCAAGCTAGCCACTCAGTGGCTCAGTCTGAACACTGGTTCTGCCCATCAGTAGAGATCATCTGATCAATGCCTAGATATTGGGTCACATGACAGGCCACTATGTACAGTCAAGCCAGCCACTCAGTGGCTCAGTCTGAACACTGATTCTGCCCATCAGTAGAGATCATTTGATCAATGCCTAGATAGTGGGTCACAAAAAAAGACACAAGTCTATTCTCAGACTCCCGGCGGCAAAAGTCGCCGGGAGTCTGTTTAAACAGCCCCGATGCTGGCGACGTACACTGTACGTCGTCAGTCACGAAGGGGTTAAAAAAAAAAGAAGAAATCCTCCATAAACAGAACCCTATACCAACAGTCACCCACAGTTGATCCAAAGGAAGGCAAAAAAGCTTTATAGGGTTTTTGTTTTGCCTTCACCTGGATCTTCTGTGAGTAACTGCTTCTGTGGGTAACTGTGGGCATAGGGTTCTTTTTTTCTCTATAGGTTGAACTCGATGGACCTGAGTCTTTTTTTTCAACCTATGTAATGATTTAACATGATGGGCCACTATGTACAGCCAAGCCAACCAGTCAGTGGTTCATTCTGAACTCTGATTCTCCCTTTCAGCAGAAATCACCTGACCAATGCGTAGATATTGGGTCACATGATGGGCCACTGTGTACATTGTTTATTTATTAACTTTTTATTACATTTTCAAACAAGTAATTTCACAATCGCTTTTACTATAGACAGACATTGTCAAGCGTTATCTACAAATAAACACAAACCAATAAAAGTAAAAACACCAAAATAAGGTAGTAATTCAACGCAACACACAATAGCTCACCATACACCACTAGAGTTTTGTTTTGTTTTTTAAATAATTTTCGGAACACTAGTTTGATTTGGTAATAGTTAATGAGGTTAAATCGGCAAAGGTTTTCAACTCTAGTGACGGAAAAAAATTGAAGGGGCAGATAGAAAGTTTTTCTCGAATAAATTAAATTGTGAATGTAGTGAGACTCCATTTATTTCAAAATAAAATGTTAAAATCAAACAAAAATTATGGCATTATCAAATGTTCTGACCAGATTTTTCATATGAATGTTCGTACCAAAATCTACCAGTGTATGGCTAGCTTAAGAGATAAAGGACAAAGAAGATTAAGGGGAGAAAAAAAAAAAGATTTATGATTAATCTTCTCATTGATCTGTTATTTTTTTGCTCTCAGCATTGTATATCGAAGGGAATGATGTCACCAAATTGGCATCAATGGCCAAACTAAAGGCTGGACGTCTAGCGAGAGAGTTGAGTGACAGCTGCCTCCAGTTCTGGGGGGGAATGGGCTTCACCAATGAGGTCTCTGTAAGCAGGTTTTATAGGTAAGTCAGACATGTCTCCTTCTTTGTTCCCATCTGTATGTCTATACATTGAGTTTCTTCTTTGCTTTGTCTGCGTTTAACCTGCAGCTCTCGTATGTAAACAATCTCACTTGAGGGCCCATTCACATCACATCCAGATCAGATCAGACCAGATTGTTTCCGGACCCAAAATGCATCCTAATGTATCCCTATGCTATTTCTGGCCTCTGTTTACACCAGGGCAGTCCGTTCCAGACCAGACCAGAAAAATACCACATGTCTCATTTTGTCTGGTCTGGAATGCACTGGAACTGCTGGCAGGTTCACACCATTTTCTGGACCAGATCTGGTCCGGAAAATGGTGTGAACTTGCCTTTGGAGGAGCACAAGTAAGTCTGATCGGGTCCGCCTGTCAGTTTTTCAGGTGGACCCGATTGGATGCCCAATGCTGGTCTATGGGCAGCTGGGTGTAAATGGACGAAAGGAATAAAACACATATAGAAAGTTTTCACATAAAGTAAAAAAAAAAAAAAAGAAAACGCTGGTTAAAAGATATACCAGCCAGAAAACAATCATCATTCAAAAAATAAATAAAGACAAATGGTCACGAATCAAGAGGTGCTGCAAAGAGTCAATGTTGGAAGGAATGTTGAAGTGGAAATGACAAATTTTTGGCCATATAGCAAGAAACTAGTGCAAAAAATTTTTTTTACATCAAACTAATAATGTATACTTTAAAATATGTATAATCGGTCCCAATTCACATGCATAGAAAGAAAAAGGTGCAAAGACAGTGCCAGTAGCGGTCCGCTTTATTTGTAGTGCCACATCAAAAGCTGTAAGAGAATGGAGGTGTGAAAACAGCTATATCTGGGGAAGCATTGAGCTCGTTTTGACCATTTTGAATTAGTGGTCCACCTTATTTGGTGAGTTTGTTGATTTCAGAAGGAGCACTGAACAATTAAAGTGAAACCAAAACTTTCTTATTTTTTAGTTTGGGATAGAGAGAGGGCCCGTTCACACCAATGCTAGATGCATTGTGTTGCCATTGATTGAAATGGCACCCCATGCAATGCACATGGCATGGGGTGTGTTAGGGTCCCATTTAAATTAATGGCAATGCACCTAGGGTACAGTACTGCACACTAGATGCACTGTGCAAAAATGTGTGTTGACCCTTTCGCTGCCAAGACATTTTTTGCACATTGTAATCCACATTATAAGCCTAAAAATTACTTAAAAATCCAAGGAGTTATATATTTTCTGAAAGCAACCACCCTGTAGAACAAAATGGCGGCATTTATGTCACATGATATTAGCACAACTCTTTATCAAACACAACATTTCAGCAAAAATTACACTTAAGTTAATTTTAGTGCACAAAAGAACACAATATAATACCCAATTTTTTTGTAAAATATAAAAGATGAGGTTGTGGCAAGTAACTAGATACCCAACATGCCAAGCTTAAAAAGTGTGTGCACCTGTGAAACAGTGAGAAAATAAGGTAACCCAAATTGTCCATAGGTGAAGCTTTAAAAGCCCTTACAGGTACAGAGTTAACAGTGAATAGTGGCCATAGAATTATTGCTCTCCTAAGGGAGGGTTATAACCACTGTCAGCTTTTTTTATATCTGTGTCCACTTTCTGTCCGATAGCCACAAAAGGAAGGGAGAGGAAATCCCTCCAAAGAGAGGGAAATCTCTGGTGGTCAGCAGGGTGACAAGAACTAGTGTCCACATTGGAAGATTTCTTTCAGTGACAACGGTCACCAGTACACATAGAGGGGGTGAATTTCCCCAACAAGGACGCAGACAGCAATAACAGAATGACACTCCACTCCATCCAAAACTATAAAAATGTTTGGCATTTAGTTGCACTTGAGAGGCACTATTCTTGGGGCCTTTCGAACAATGTAAGCACTATTTTTGCATTATATATATATATATATACACACACACAATTTTTATTTTTCATATTCAATATTGATTATTTCTATTTTGTTATATATTTATAATTGTTAATTATATATTTGGATCTATAGTATAATTTATTATTTTTATTTATGTAATTGGGTGAGCAACAGTTTACTTTTATCAGGTATGTAGGAGCGCGGATTGCTTTCGGTTTATTAACCCTAGGTAGAGTTGTCCTTTACATAAATATTTCCCCCAATAGTTGTCAGTTGTGCAATCACTTTACAGCTATGCGGCCGGAGATCTTCACATACTATAAGATGATAAATATCTTGGAGTGGATACATTTTATAAACCTTCATACAGATGGTGCCTGGCAGTACTGGCCGGTGATGGCTTTCAGCTTTATTTATTTATTTTTTATTCTTCCCTCTGCTCACGCAGAGAAGAGGAAAGAAGAGTCATGTAAATATAGAGAACTATAAATGTCTGGAATTGTACGCACTTATTTTCATTGCATAAAAAGGATCCGGGAAGTTCTAGCAGGTCAATGTGACATAGTCTTTACCGTTTATGGAACACAAGGTTTCATCAAAGAAAATATTATTTTTAGCAATTACTGAACTCCAGATATGAAATGTTTTTATTTGCTTTTTCCTCTACGCTGTATTTTGATTTGTATCTTCATTTCTTTTGCAACTTGAGGGTTCACTTATTGGTTAATGCAGTTTAAGTCACATCCTACTGGCAGTATGGAGCACTTTCTTTAAAAAAATGTTAATAGCTAAAATGGAAATTTTCAGTCATTTGGGTTCCCTCTTTTCCAAGGTCTGAAGTTCAAATTTACTAAATAAGCCGGTTAAAAATGCATAAATGTGTGAACTGTCTTCTCTGCTTTCTCTGGTTTGAAGGAGGAAAGATGACATTGCAGTCATTAGGTTAAAACTAATACTGGCTTAGTGGAAATTTAGGTGGAAGTTTAGGGCAGTGGTTGTCAACTTAAAAGGTAAAAGGGGCCTCAAATGTAACCCTTGATGTCTACAAAGGGCCGGGCACTCAAACACCAAAGGGCCGAATGTGGTCTTTGGGCTGCAGGTTGGGCACCAGGGTTTTAAGTGATATGATAAGCACAATGCATTGTGTGTTAATGAACTGAACCAATAGGACATAAGGTTATTTTCCATGTCCTTGCCTTGGTCAACTCATCCCTATGTAGAAAGTGGGAATAAGCCCTTAGAGGCTATGGCGAAGGTTGACAGGTGATATGGTTAAGGACAATGGTTAGGGGATATGGTTAAAACCAATCAGCCCATCTTCCGTTTAACTGTGCCTAACCTCCCTCTCCCCCTTTCCAAGTCCACCTCCTTTCCCTTCCCTTCATCCCTATTCAGACCAAATAAAAAACATTGGTCACCTGAAGAACCTGGTCCTTCTCTGTTAGTGCTCATTGATGCATAGAATGGCATTCACTTTGTGATGCGTGAGCCTGTTCAAAGCAGCATTGTACTATGAGCCCAAGCTCACAGTCACCTACATAGGATCTATTGTCTGCAGTGACACTAGATCAGAAGGAATGCCCATGATGACCTGGCCTCACAGGAAATGGACCAGTGGACTCTGGTTACCATTTAACCCAGGAGAGGAATGGTGACCAGTGAGTGATGCTAGCCCAGAAGGGATGTTCATGATGGCCTGGCCTCACAGCAATTGGACCAGTGGACTCTGGTCACCATTTAACCCAGAAGAGGAGTGGTGACCAGGGAATTACGCTAGCTCAGAAGGGGTGTCCATGATGGCCTGGTCTCACCAGACGAGGACCAGTGGACTCTGGTCATCATTTAACCCAGAAGAGGAATGTGACCAGTGAGTGACGCTAGCCCAGCAGGGGTGTCTATGATGGCCTGGCCTCACAGGAATTGGACCAGTGGACTCTGGTCACCATTTAACCCAGAAGAGGAGCAGTAACCAGTGAGTAATGCTAGCCCAGAAGGGGTGTCTACGATGACCTGGCCTCACCGGAAGAGGACCAGTGGACTCTGGTCATCATTTAACCCACAAGAGGAGCGGTGACCAGTGAGTAATGCTAGCCTCGGAAAGGGTGTCCATGATGGCCTGGCCTCACCGGAAGAGGACCAGTGGACTCTGGTCATTATTAAACCCAGAAGAGGAGTGGTGACCAGTGGCAGAATAAGATGCAGGGGTATCTCTGGAGAGTTACAAACTTTTTTTTTTTCAACTGGACGGGAAAAAGACCTTCTTAAATAGAGTTGGACTTTAGGAGTGCTTTAAAAGTAAGCCTACACATAGGTCAACAGCAGAATTCTCCTGTATAGAAGGCACCTTCACCTCCCCATCACTGACCATTGCCTCCATGGTTCTCCAGTGCACACTTCCAAAAATCTGGTATTTTCATAGGCCTAGGCATGCCTTTCTGGCCCCAACATACCTGTGCCCAAGCATTGTAATGGGTCGCTCCGAGGTGGGAGGAGTATACAAGTGTGCCCCATAATTTGGTTTTTAAATTTTTTATTAGGTTACAAGGATGCATTGGAACAATGTGTTGGCGCTATTAATGTACAACACAGCACTAGATGAACTGTCTGTTCTGTGTGGTAGGGTATCCAGTATCACAAGACTGGCTCAACATAATGGTACATCTGCTCAGGACACCTCTATATCTGTCAGCTGTGTGTTCAGCTGTTTATCTGAAGTCCAGCTTACAATGCAGATGATGCAATAAAAATAAAAAAAACAGATGTGGTTGCCTTGCGGCTCTTTATAAATGAAACTCAGTGAAACAAGGCGGTCTAATTGCTTCCTAATGAAATACAGATACAGCTCAGTGATGAGCAGAACAAAAATCATGTCTTGATCGCTCACAGCCCCCCGGCCACAGAAGAATATTCACTTACATAATGTATAAGGATAGCTAGAAGCACCATCTATACAACTGAGTGTGAATGTTATCTAATGGAGATAAGTCATGCTTATGTAATGCCGCATTTCTCCACTCATACCTAATAGGTAGAAAAGGGAAGCCTAGCATTTACGATGAAGGAGCTTTACTGCAGGAAACTGCACATCTTTCACTGGAAATGTTCTGTGGTTTTCCACATATTTTCTTTATATATTTATTAAGGTCAGAATGATAAAATGTTTTATGTATTGAGGAAGGTAAATAGGAAATACTGCTATTAAATTATCGATTTAGTCAGACAGAAAAATTATAGTTAGTGCTGAGCTTTCTTATTGGTAAAGCCAACAAGGATTTCAAAGCAGAATGCCTTTTGATTCACTTTTATTTGTTCAATAAAGATTTTCTCTGAAATATTTATAAGCGGTGAGTTAGAGGAGAGACGCGCGCACTTCTTCTAAAGGCAGCAACATATATTAACATGGTTGTTCCAGAAAACATACATTTAGTGACGTTCTTCCTTTTTAGTACACCAGTACACCCAGAAAGTATTTTAAATAGATTGCCATTGATGCACAAAAATTTTTTGTTTGTAAAAGATTTTTATATGAGATATTTATACGTGATGAGTTAGAGGAGGGACACATGATAGCAAAAGCGACAACATACTCAGTCCTCTAGAAACTATACAGGTAGTGCGGGGCTTTCCTAAAAGTGTTTCAAGCAGAAAATCATTTGAATTAAAAAAATTACCCATGCAGTGCCACTCCCACCCCACCCAGCACGGCAAGGGTGTTTTGTCTAGGGTTAGCTGTACTTACCTAATGCCTTGCTTTCCTGGCAGCCAGCACTCTCCAAAGCAGGCCCTTGCCATCCACACGTACAATACAGGACTGCTGCTCCTGCACTGTACTATCGATGTAGCAATACCTGCGACCGGTGGAGTGCTGCAGAGAAGAGAATTTGGGGTCGGTCATGCATTGCAGTGCATGACTGCTCAGTGGTTAGCGATTCTGCCTTGTAGCACTGGGGGTCCCGCTTCGAATCCAGGCACGGCCAGGGACACTATCTTCATGGAGTTTGCATGTTCTCCCTGTGCTCGCGTAGGTTTTCACTAGGTACACCCGTTTCCTCACACACTCCAAAGACATGATGGTAGGGTAACTGGCTCCTAGTATGTGCTCATATGAGATAGGGACCTTTTAATTGTAAGCTCCTTGAGGGCAGGGACTGATGGGAATGAATGGTATGTAATCGCCAGGAATCACCAGCACTCAAAGGTATGCGTGTAGTATGAACGCTTTTTTATTTACTCGTCACTTCTCATCATAAAGTCAACGTTTCGGGGCCACGCAGGGCCCATTTTTCAGGGCAACATAGTGACGCACTGTGGTATGTAAAGCACTGTGTAAATTGATGGTGTAAATTGATGATGTAAATACCTGTAATATATAAGGGTCCTTTTTTATATAATAAAGTAAATATATATAAAATACTGTGTATATATTGTATGTAAATATTTATTATTAGTAGTATTATTATTATTATTAGGGATGACGAGTATTTGGGCGGGTACTCATACTCGCCCAAATGCTCCGATGCCTAGCTCGATACTTGAGCTTCCGGCATCAGGAAGCCGGGCAGCAAATCATTACACGCTGCCTGGCTTCCTGATTTGTTGGGAAGCTGGCCAATCACTAAGCCGGGCGCCGTGTAATGATGCGGCACCTGGCTTTCTGATTGGCCTGGGAAGCCGGCTTCATGCTCCCTCCTCACCTAATGACAAGAAGCAGGGAGATGGCTTCCCTGCTAATCAGGAAGCCAGGTGGCAAGTCATTACACGCCGCCTGGCTTCATTTATTTATTTATTTCCGTATCGATGAGTAACGAGAAAAAAAAATATCAGTACTCGTGCTCAAAAGCGAAAAACCGGTATCGGTGCATCCCTAGTTGTTATTATTATTATTATATTCATTTTTTTTAAAACAATTAAATAAAAATGGCCCAATACTTCTATTCCCCTTTTGCTCCAGGGCTCAGCAATGTGTAGATAAAATAAATAGTATAAATAGTCAAATAAAGAAATCGTTCTATTCTGACAATGGTTTCCATTTATGTGCAGAGAGTTGTAATACCCTAACAGCCCCGCCTGTTCTTTGCTTAGTGTCCACTTTTCTTTTTGCAGAGATTTCCGTCTACTCTCGATTGGCGCCGGAGCGGATGAAGTCATGCTGTCGATTATTTGCAAATATATGGGCACCCTTCCTGGCAAAAAATGAGGCCACTTTTGAGTCGAAAGCCAAATTCCGGGAAGAACACAAAAAAATTAAAAATAAAATCGATATTCTGAATGTAGATGCTGCGACGCCTTCACCTACCCGGGGCGTTGTATTATGTGGTGCCTGCGTACTGTTATCAGCAACGTCCTCCGCAGGAAATAATAATAATTGTGACAATTTCCGTCATTGCCGGTATCAATAAACTGTGGATCTCGCCTGTGACATCATAATCACGCCTGTGACATCAGCGGTAAAAGTATAAGGAGTATCAGTGCGGGTTTCTCCTTCACATTAGGTTCATTTTCAAAGGACATTCAACTTAAAAGGGATATTTTAGTTCTAGGTGGGCGGAGTCCTATATGTCTTGGGTTAGAACAGAGGTTCTAATTCTTCTGAAACAAAATGTATGGAGTTCCACTTTAACCACTTCCTGCCTGTCCGTTGTAATTAAATGGCTGGACGCTGTCTTATTGAATGCGGGTGAACGTTTTAAAATATCCACTCCTGCTGTCATCATTTTAAACACCCGGCGATGGCTGTTTACATACAAGCGTTCGGGCGGTGATAGAGCCGCCCGATCGCTTGTATGTTTTGTTGAAGTGTGCGGTCCGCCCCTCTCCGCTGCTGCCACCTATTCCTTTTATATAATCAAAAATAAAACCCCCAGAAGAAAACTTTATCTGTCCCCCAAAAATGCGTTGCATGACAAAATAAACGTCAGTCAAAGTACCTCAGTGCTGAATACTGAAAAATGGCCTGGCCAGGAAGGGGGTGTAACACCCCGGACCTCAAGTGGTTAAGAACCTGGGATTCAGCTGTAACCTCCTAACCCTCCGTCCTAATGAAACACATAGAAGGGGGATTTATCAAAACTGGAGCAGGCCGAATATGGAGCAGCTGCGCTTGGCTACCAATCAGCTTGTCTCTTCAGTTTGCCCAGTTGGGATTGGAAAATGAGAGATAGAAGCTGATTGGTTGCTGTGCACAGCTGCTCCGGTTTTGATCAATTCCCCCCATAATTGTTATACAAGAAACCCGGAAGAGGAGCCGCACAACACAACTGTATGGTTTGTCATTTTATATCCTTCTCTAATTTTATGTAAACAATAATAATAATATGGGAATAAAATGTACAGAGATTTTGCCTTAAAATTCCGTATTTTTTGGTGATTAAAGTGTTTTATTTGCTCTGAAGTATAAATTCGTCTTTTCTCTAATCTATAATATATCATCTGTTTGTGCAGCCTCAGCAGAGTCTACAGGAGGTTACAAAGAACATTAAAGGAGAACTATGAGGTGAGTGTAAATCACACTTCCTCATAGTTGGAGCCGACGTGTGACAATGAAACTGTCACAGGTCGGCTCAATGGATCGGGAAGTGAGCGAACACATACCGGCGCTCGCTCACTACTCGATCATCTCCCTGCAGAGAGGCTGAGAAATAATTCACATTTCAGCAGCATTTACAGGCTGTGGTGTCCCCTTGAAGTCTCCATTGTGTCCCTCGGGAAACGTTGGGTGTTTTGCTTGTTGCCGTACAGAAGCGCAGACCCGGCTCGTCTATGTAAACATTCCTTTCTTTGGTTGTAGTTGGTTACAGACACCGGAAGACACGTCTCCATGGCAACAAACTAAAGGTAAATATTTCCCATGGGCAGATCAGCTGCATTCCACGTAGACGCTGCGCAGTGATTTGTATTTGTGGCAGAAATAATTATATTGTTATTGTAACATCTCCTCTAGAGCGATGGTTGAGCTCCGGGATCAGAGAATATTGTCCTCGTACAAGAGTCATGTGACTTCTTCCTTGAATCTTGGTGTGTATTTCTTCCAGATCTGTGCAGTAATCCAGTGTGAGACTCAGAGCTTCCTGTAATAAAGACCAGTCACTGCTGCTCTTTCCTTGTGCAGGGTAACTGGTCTTGTCTCTGCCCCCACCTGTAATAAAGACCGCTCACTGCTGCTCTCTCTCCTTGTGCAGGGTGCTGGTCTTTTCTCCACCCCCTCCTGTAATAAAGATCGCTCACTGCTGCTCTCTCTCCGTGTGCAGGGTGACTGGTCTTGTCTCCACCCCCTCCTGTAATAGACCGCTCACTGCTGATCTCTCCTTGTGCAGGGTGACTGGTCTTGTCTCCACCCCCTCCTGTAATAGACCGCTCACTGCTGCTCTCTCTCCGTGTGCAGGGTGACTGGTCTTGTCTCCACCCCCTCCTGTAATAGACCGCTCACTGCTGATCTCTCCTTGTGCAGGGTGACTGGTCTTGTCTCCGCCACTCCTGTATTTCCTACAGGCAGCCTGTAGTGGGTGGAGCCTGCTGGGCCCCTCCCACAGCTCTGCTCTCTGCACGGGGCTTTGCGCAGTACATCACTGCTACTTTTACACATACTATCTGGGTTTGGCTCGCACACAAAGTTGATACATATCCTTTGGTGCTATTGATGAATACGTTTAAAATGATGTGCACGGAGTTCAGCTTTACAATTCAGAGTTAGGTTGAGGCTTAGTGGTTCGGTTGAGGTTTAGGGTCCGAGTATAGGTTAAGGTACGGGTATGCAACCTCAGCACTCCAGCTGTGATTTAAAACTACAAATCATCATGTCTGTGCCTCTGGTAGTCATGCCTGTGGCCGTCAGAGTGTTGCAATGCCTCATGGGACTTGTAGTTCCACAACAACTGGAGTGCTTGGGTTGCCTACCCCCGGGTTAGTGAGTGTGTGTGGGCGTTAGGTTGAGGTTAGGTTAAATGTTGGATTTAGGAGTTAGGCTGAAGGTTTACAATCAGTGGAAGGCTTTACAGTGGATCTGGCGACAGATCCAGTATATTTTCAAGATGCATTTTTAGCGTGCACGCTCAGTAATGGAAACACTTCCAGGTGTTTATTACCTCTCACAGAGAGCACATGACTCCCCCTGACAATGGCTTCACTTGCTTTTGTCTCCATCAGGATGGAGCCATGTATATTCAGGCATCATCCAGGGTCACCATCTGATTCTGAGATGCCGCCTCACAGGTGGCACAATCATTTAAATCCCGCTGTCTGTGCAGTTCATGTCTGACACAGATCAGCCCCCTGCTGCAGCTTTTCACCTCGCGACCTACTACATAATTACAATGTTGCAGTGTGAACGGGGGGGAGGAGTCCCAGAGAAATATCAGAAGCCAGAATGTGATTCATCTAAACAGCACAAAGCTACAATACCAAAGAAATATCCCGACATTCTCCGGCTGCCTGGTGTTACGTTTGTGTTCAATTTACAGTACAGTTACAGTAAATGTCTCCATCCGGCAGTTCAGCAGCTTCGGATCCCTGCGCAACATCCCCCCATCCCCCCCCCCCC